TGCAATAAAAATGCAACAAATATCTCTGCCTAATAATATTATTCAGCAGCTTATAGCAGACATGTCCGTAGATGTAAAATAACAAATTTTTATTGAAATCAATCTTTCACCATTGTTTGCTTTTCAAGTTGATAAATCAACAGACGTGAGTTCGTGTTCGCAGTTGCTGGTCTTTCTCTATATTAATTCAGATGATAGCAAAGAAGAGTTGCTCTTTTGTGAAGATAGCATGGAGAAAATAAATACGTTTTTTTTTTTAAATTGGATGATTAAAATGGGTTTAAAACGGCTATGAGGGTTTGTACGGATGGTGCACTATCTATGTTTAGGTCGAAATCGGGCTTTCAGAAAGCAGAAAAGATTTAGCTCCCTAACCACTGCCCTCACCAATCGCCATCACGACTCCATTGCTAGTATAAGTCGTAAATTATATAAAATCTGGAGCCTTCAAAGAACTGAGCAAAGACATGAATAAAGATCACGAGGTTCTGCACTTCTACACTACATTGCGCTGGTTGTCAAACAAATTGTTGTGAATCGTGTTTTTTAATTGAAATTTGAAATCAAATTGATCTTGGAAATGCAAAGGAAACAAGACCTTTTGGTATACTTAAAACGACATAGAGTGGTTGGAGAGAGTATCATACCTAGCAGATGTGTTCGAACATCAAGATAAGCTTAACCTGAAACTTCAGGGAAAATGAACGAATATTATCACTTTCCATGATAAACTCGGGGCATTTTTATCAAAGCTGCAAAATCGGCGAAGAAAATAAATCTAGGAAATATTGTAAATTTGAGAAACTATGCAGTGTGGTAGATGAATCTAATTGTGAGATAATTAAAATTTTGAAAGAAGAAATTTCTAGGCATCTTGAATCTATTGAAAACGAACTGCGACGCTATTTTCTGAGCTGAAAGAAGAAGAATCTGCATTGACGCATTGCCCATTCTCTTCTTCCCTTGATGTTGTCAACATTCACGATGAATTACAAGATGAATTATTTGATTTGTAGAATGATTCCGAGTAAGATGAAAAACTGCAGGCGCCATTTTAGTGTAGTATTCACCATTCATCCCCAAGCGTAAAATTGATTGACTTTTCGAGAATATATTTTCAACATTATTCGTCGATTAAAAACAAAATTAAGATAATTATAATGACATAGGTTTGCGTTAACAAAAAAATTTTTATAATTAAAAAGTTAACCACGAAGGTTTAGTGAATAGTATGCAATTTTACTCATGCTATTAAAACAGTTATCAAGAGTAGTTCATATTGAAAGTCTACTAGAAAATCTTATTTTCGTGCTTATTAATTTCCATACTAATTTCGGCTTTTTAATTCTATGGGGGTCGCGGGTCACTTACTTTTTATAAAAGGGGGTCGCCACTCTAAAAAGGTTGGGAACCATTGTTCTAAATATATCATACAAGGGGAGTGACGGAATTTTAAAAAAATAATTATTATTGTTATCTCCCTTGATAAATATTTTTGCGTATTTCATGGGCAGCCACCGGATAGTTTCTTCCAGGCATCTCTTTGAGGGTGGGGGGGGGGGGGTATCAACACACCCCCCCCTTATGGAATTCATATAGAAAATATACTTTTACCAGTCTCTGTCACCCATCTCCCAGGATATTTTAGTCACCCCACCCCCTGACTGGTATAATTCCTCTGTTGTAATTATTATGCTTAAATTTACTTTTAAAAATTAGGGAAAATTAAATTCTAAACTCCACTAATTAAAATGACTGTATTGTAAAGAGTCTAAAAACAAGATTTTTGTTTTAGAAATATTTTTTTTACTACACAGGAACAATTTCTTTTTTTCTCTCTTGTAACCCATTCACAAGGTCACCAGTTTTTATAATTGAAGTTGTTTATTTTAGCATCAAGACTTTGTTTTCACCAATTCAACTGTTTAATATAACATACAGACTGAGTACATTAAATACAGATACGCTTTCTTCACTTCTAAAGTAATAAATAAATTAAAATACAGTCAGTGATTTGCATTATAGAATTTTTTACATAAAAACAAACTGTGAATAGTTTAAGTAATGGAATTCAGTGAAAAGCTGACATTAAACAGATATTTAGTGCTGACATTGTTAATGTAAACCCTAAATCTAAGCTTAATGGATAAACTAATTAAAATTGAGCATTGCAATTTTTTATGAGAATGTAACAAAATTTCAAGTGAACACAAACTTTAGAATGAAACATTTTTTATAAGATTAGAATTTTATTAATCAGCTTAAATAATGAATAAGCATCAACAAACAAAATAAGGTTTACAGTAAGATAAACAAAGTTCACATCATTACAAGGCATGATACTGCTGGACAGTGGTCAGTACTGGATAAATTAAACTACTTTATTTACTGTAACTTTAGTAGTGTCTCTATTGAGTTGGTGATGGTCTCTAACTGAGCTGATAATTCATTCATCTGAAACACACACAAACAATGAAAAACACTGAATTAAATCACTTATTAACTATAAAATTATTATATAATTTATTATAAAATAAAATAATAGTTCTAAATCAATGGTTCTTGAACTCATGTATATGTTAGAAATTTAAATAGTATTGGAATTTACATTATCATTCTAAAGGTGGGAGCTAACTAGTCTATATTAATTTTTTTTTTTAAGTTGAAGGGTAGTTGCTAAAGGTAAGTGACGCAGGGGGAGGGGGAAGATGAGAAGAGAGAGAATGTTCAAAGTTAGATTGTTGCACAATATCATTAATTTGTTGCTTCTAATAACAAGTTTAAGTATCTATCTAGTATCTTCTAATGTTTTGAAACATTTTAATGTACAATTATTGAGAAATCTTTAAATTTTAATGTGTGTTTAGGGTGTAGCGTATATAGAGTATGTATGGTGTGTAGTGCGTGTAGTGTGTGTGTTTGAGTGTAGTGTTCAGACCATGTATAGCATGGAGAGCGTTTACATCATGTAGACTGTGTAGAGTGTGTAGTGTTCAGACCATGTAAACTGTGTAGAGCATGTGATCTATGTACATCATATAGAGTGTGTAGTGTGTGTAGGGTAAGTAGAGTAAGCACACCATGTAGAGTCTGTAGAGCATGTGAAGTATGTACAACATGTAGACTGTGTAGAGAGTGTGCATCATGTAAAGTGTGCAGAGTGTGCACATCATATAGAGTGTAGAGTGTGTCCTTACCTTTTCCTCATTTTTAACTCTGACATCTTCAGGCACCTTGCTCTCATAATCTGGAACCTTGGCCGCTTCCCTTAGTTTGGCCAGACTTTTGGCCAAACTGTCTTTCTTAGCTTCTAGCCTTTCTTTTTCTTTGGGGATGTCGATCTGGCCCTGATGGAAACAAAAACAAAACAATATCAGCAACAGATGCTCATCAAACTGCAGTCAGATCAACAAACAAAACAATATCAGCAACAGATACTCATCATACTGAAGTAAGCTCAACAAACAAAACAACATCAGCAACAGATGCTCATCATACTGAAGTATGATCAACAAACAAAACAACATCAGCAACAGATGCTCACCATACTGAAGTATGCTCAACAAACAAAACAACATCAGCAACAGATGCTCATCAAAGTATGCTCAACAAACAAAACAACATCAGCAACAGATGCTCATCAAAGTCAGATCAACAAACAAAACAATATCAGCAACAGATGCTCATCATACTGAAGTAAGCTCAACAAACAAAACAACATCAGCAACAGATACTCATCATACTGAAGTAAGCTCAACAAACAAAACAACATCAGCAACAGATGCTTATCATACTGAAGTATGCTCAACAAACAAAACAACATCAGCAACAGATGCTCATCATACTGAAGTAAGCTCAACAAACAAAACAATATCAGCAACAGATGCTCATCATACTGAAGTAAGCTCAACAAACAAAACAACATCAGCAACAGATGCTCATCATACTGAAGTATGCTCAACAAACAAAACAATATCAGCAACAGATGCTCATCAAACTGAAGTGCTCAACAAACAAAACAACATCAGCAACAGATGCTCATCACAGTCAGATCAACAAACAAAACAATATCAGCAACAGATGCTCATCACAGTCAGATCAACAAACAAAACAATATCAGCAACAGATGCTCATCAAAGTAAGATCAACAAACAAAACAATATCAGCCACAGATGCTCATCAAACTGAAGTAAGATCAACATAAAAAACAGAAAAGAGAACAGATCACTGCCTATTAGATGGTATGTGTGTTAAGATAAAACAAAAGTAAACTAAATAAAAATAAACTTTTACTAAAGAGAGCAGATCACCATCCCCCCCCCCCCCTAAACATTAGACACTACTATTAAATAACTATAAAGAAAAGCGTGGGTCACTTTAGTATCTATTGGATACCTTTACTAATGTTAAGGAAGACACCCACGCTTTTTTTTATAGTTATTTAAATAGTAGTCTATAATCTATAATCTACTTTTTAGTGCATTAGTACATAAAAGCTTGTTATTAAAACGTTTTTTATGAATTTTTTTTTAGTAGGCCTACTTTACATGTTTTATTTACAATAGAGTTACATGACTAAAAACCTTTGAGCGACTACTGAACGTGATGGCGCAGCTATTGAACGTGATGACGCGTGTGGTGTGGTTGGATAGACATGCCTACTAATTTGGTCCAAATTTTAATTAATTCATAAAAAATTAATTAGGCATCCAATTAAGTCAAATTTAATTTCAGATTGCATTGTCTTCATGTCTTGACCCACGTGCCAACTGTGAATCATATCGGTCAAGTAGAAGTGTCCGAATTTTCACTCCGGCGTATCGATCTAGACAGACTGCCGACTGACGACAGACTGACGAGGAAGTGAGTTAAATAAAAGCTTGTAAAAATCATGTCTATATTCCAAGTTATAAAAGAATATTCGAGAATGTTTAGGGGAGATTACTCCCGGTTTATTTAGAAATCATTTGCATTTCTTTCTACCCATTTATATACACAGTTCAGCCCTTCCACATAGCACCAATTCCTTTCTCTGATATGCTGCATACAAGCCCCTGCTTGTCTTCATCAATGCCTTTAAGAATTTGTACACGATCACCTAAGAAAATTTTCCACTCTGATTTTGGTATTGATTCAATCAGCTCAGTCAGACGTTTCCCTGGCTTGTTAGCCTCTTTTGCTGCATCTGTCCATGGACGATTCTCAACAAATATCCACTGCCTTTTTCTTTCATGTCTCCATCCTTGGATTGGTTTGTAGATTGAAACCCCAGATGCCTGGGCTATTTCTCGTTGTACATATTTTTTTAAATAACTTAAAACTGTAACTGTTAATCTTATATTTTTTCTCTCTTGAGCATAAAAATTAGACTGGGTTTAGAATTAGTGTATATATAAATCTAGATTCAGGTTCTTTGATGTATAGGTCAGGGGTCGGCAACCTTTTGAGCCGAAAGAGCCAACAGTTACAATTTACAACATTACCCGGTTTTTAAAGACCCATTAACATTTTTATGTCAATAGTATATTTGTTTAGGAGTTTATATATATATATATATATATATATATATATATATATATATATATATATATATATATATATATATATATATATATATAAAAATCCTAAACAAATATCATACTATATATATAATTTAAAATAAATAGCTTTGAATATATGAAATAGTCTCATTTGAATTGGTGTTTGGAGGTTCTACTATGTAAGTCAGAGTATTGCATTTGTTTTGAATAGCTCAATCTCTCTCAGTGAAAATATCCTTCATTTTGTTTATATTAATGCTGAAGTGATTGCTTAGTGGCATTGGGTTTATAACGATATTTTTTTTTTAGATTTTTTCGTAATTAAGTAATTTACCGCTCACCATGTATTCAACAAAAAAGTATTTTTTTTCGAAACAAACCACTTCTTCAAGCAAGACATAGGCTGGGTTTTCCTTTCAGTTTTACACGTAGCTGGTTTAGTTTCTTTGTGATATCCACTATGAAGTTGAATGTTTTAATTCGGAATGGACAATGTAATAGGAAGTACATTGAGATAGGGTGTAACTAAATATTCTAATATAATAGCGAATTTTTATTGTTTATATCTTATGTTATATAGTTTATTGCCGAATGTTGCAGACTAATATTTTTATGAGTTTTGAAAATAAATAATTATAAATATTTATGCATGGAGCTGAAGAGCCGCAACTGGTCACCAAAAGAGCCGCATGCGGCTCGCGAGCCGCAGATTGCCGACCCCTGGTATAGGTAATATAGATCTAGATCTAGATCTAAATACTTATTAATAATTAATAGTAGTAGACAATAAATTTAACAACAGGGCTGCATTGAGTGTTGTCTCAAGTGCAATAGCAGAGCGCATTATATAAACTGAACTTTCTCATCATGTCTACAAGACATTTTTTTAATTCAGCTAGCGGTTTGCAATTAAAATTTAAGCCTGACAATAATTTAAAATTACAAAACAAAGCCTATGCACTCCTTTTTCTAAGACAAGTAGAAATATTTTAATTTTAATTTACACTGTAAACAATGTTTTATATTTTTAAAAACTATTTATGAATTTCTTTGTACATCTAGCCTTTTTTTAGGTCAAATTTATAGGTTATCCTTCTTGGTTTATGTAAATGTATAAATGAAAATTTACGTAGGCGAATTAATTAAATATTTTTTTTTATTCGGATATAATTACATTAATTCATCTGAAATTTAAATGAGCAAGATATAGGCCTACATTTTCCATACACACATGTATCTGTGAATATAAAGGCTAAAGTGGGAAAAATGTTTCTTAGTTTGTATTTTGTTTGTCAAATATGTAGCTATGTTGTTAAATCAAACTTTGACATCTTTCGTGAATAAAATAACATTGCTAGTTTGATGCTGTTTCTAGAGGCCTTCGAATACAGGCACTTCCTTGTCTTCTCTACAGTACCGTTATAACTCTTTATAGAAACATTTGATGCTGAAAATTAACATATTGCTGAATAACTAATAATTTTTTATTGCTTATCTCTTTTATTTCAAAGTAATTTAACATTAACATAAAGAGTTAAACCTGAACCGAGATTCTATCAACAAAACTGTCAATATTAAAAAAAAAACATGTTCGCTATCAAGGTATGCAATCTTTCCAGTGATTAATTTAACGCCGTTACAGTAGTATTGATCTTGTTGTTAGATTCGATATCCCACATGTTAGATTCGTTGCTTATCATGTGTTTATTAGATTTGATGATTTGTGGGATTCAATATTTTCAATTACTATATAGCCTAAATACTTATTGTATTTATCACATATTTATAGTACCAATTTTGAGTACCGTATTTATTTATAATCCCGTATTTTTAGTTACCGCATTTTTCTTCTTTTAAAGTATCGTATTTATAGTGTAGTATAGGGTAACTGTGTATACGTATATCAGGCTTTCAGGCATAGAAAAAAAGTGTCGTAAAATATAAAAACATGCCAATGCCGGGGTCAGATTAAGGGTCACGTTCAAACTTAATCCCCCGACTGGCCAATCAACTACTGTAGGTTGATTCATCTTTAACAGAGACCTTCAGGTTTCTAACAATGAAATTAGGAAATGTTCAAATGATTTTATTCAGATAAATGAACATTCTTTCATCTTTTGCTTGACCGTAAGTAAGTTCTCTTTTGAAACCTGACGGTCTGTAGGGCAAGTGAAGTAGAGTTCACTAGTTTCTGTGACCTCGGCATATGAAGAGATAGTGTGGTCAGCACTATGCCCAGCCGCCTTTACTTTCCCTAACGTGAGTTAGGTACCCATCAGAGTTTAGTGGACTCAGGGACGGTCTACTGACTTGAACCAGGTTTGGAACTCGAGACTTACGGGTAAGCAGTCCAGAACTCTACCGCTAGACCACTCCGTCCCATAGATAGCATTATACTTATCTCAATGGAATCTGAGATCATTAGCACCTAGCTCATTCTCACAGAAGGTAATCTAAATATCTTCCTGATAAGGACCTGGAACTGGACCGCATCTCTCTGCCAGACAATGAAGATTGCCTGGTTGTGGGAGACATGAACATCCACTCTCAGAGCTGGGGTTACCCTGACCTCAGTGCTAAAGGAAACAAAATTGAAGAATGGCAAGCAGGAAGGCTTACACGTCTAAACAACCCTGATGACAAACCAGCTTTCTAGTCTAGAGCACGGTCAACCTCATCCATCTCAGACACAGCTTGTGCTACAAACGACACCAACTGAAAACTTTGCTACAAACGACACCAGCTGAAAACTTTGCTACAAACGACACCAACTGAAAACTTTGCTACAAACGACATCAACTGAAAACTTTGCTACAAACGTCACCAGCTGAAAACTTTGCTACATTTTACAATTTTACAATTGTTTTGTTGAGTATTTTCAATAACTGATACCTCAACAAACGACCGGTGTGGGTGACACCAAATTTGATAAGTTAATATGAAAACTGCTTTTTTCCACTTAAAGTAATAGGAGGATTTACATATATATAATTCTCTTCATAGAGACCATAGAAAACTCCACACAGCTTAGCCACCACACTCATACCCACCTGTCAGGTGAGCTGTGGTTCACCCTGAATGTTTACAATCGTAGAGCTGGGTTAGTGACGGCTATTAGGGGCAGATAATTTAGTATTAAACGATTTGAAACGAAGGGGAGGTAACAATGTCTGATTGGTCTTTTCTTTGTCTTTACTACGTCGCGATTCAGCTCATTAATATAATTTTTTCAAAACTGATGCCACTTGTTTAATTGGAGGAGGGGGGGGGACACCAAATGCAACTTTCACAGAACAATGTAGTGATCAGAACAAAATACACCACCCACCAAAGTGGATGGCCCTGACACCACATTGAAAAAAATTGCAAAGCAAAAAATCCTTTGATGATGGATCGTGACGGCTAACTAAAATATCAATACTAAATTTCTTAACGAACATGTCATCATGTAACAGCCTCCCAGCGTTGAGGTGTGTGTGGGGGGGGGGGGGTGACACCAGTAAAACAATAATTGTAAATTAGATGGTGTAAGTTTGCTTCAGTAATTTCAGAAAACATGACATCTTAAAAAATTTTAGATTTATTTCTAATATTTCAAATTGGTATTGGTAGCCCATGTTATACTAAATGTGTGTGGATATTTTACTATTTAGTTTTTTTTTTGCTTTTCCACTAATATTGTTCAATGTGTAGTAAAGCACATTGCGCTTTGACCAATAACTATTTCATAAAATATTTTTCTCAAACAAGTATAGCGTTACAAAAATATATGCCTATAATTCATGTGTAACGGGTACCGATCGCTAATATATATATATATATATATATATATATATATATATATATATATATATATATATATATATATATATATATATATATATATATATATATATATATATATATATATATATAATATATATATACATATATGAATATATTTTTATTTTTTAAATTTTTTTTTCGGAGTGGGTGTACACCCGACCTGGCGACGCTACAGCCTAGGACAGGGGTCGGCAACCTGCGGCTCGCGAGCCGCATGCGGCTCTTTTGATGTCGAGATGCGGCTCTCCAGCTCCTTGCACGAATATTAAGTTATATTATTTCATTTTCAAAACTCATAACAAATATTATACTGTAAAGAAAAACAACTTTAAACAGGATAAAACACTCAGCAGAGAACAGTGAGAATAGGTGGAGTAGAGAGTAGACAGCTGACAGCCGCTTGGGCACCAGTGCCAGCCCCACAGCCGTGGTGTGGACAGCACCATGGCAACAATTCCGTGATTTTAACTAACAAATCAAATTTATTTACCAAATCCTAATCAAATACCATAATATTGAAATAATAATGTGGCTCTTTATAAGCTGGGACATTTGTAAATTGTAACTTTTGGCTCTTCCGTCCCAAAAGGTTGCTGACCTCTGGTCTAGGACTTAGAGTATATACTATTTTCAATTATTTTCTTTTTAAGTAAATTAAAACAACAGAGCTACATGGAAAGTTGTGTTGCAAATCGTCCAGACTGTCGCATTGTAAAAAACTGAACTTTCTCATCATGTCTACTATTCAAGTCTTTAATTCTGCTAGCTGTTTGCAATTAAAATTTGAGCCTGGTAATAATCGAAATTAAAAATACAAAGAATAAACAATCATTTCTATAAGAAGTAAAAATAATTTTGTTTCTGTGTTTATACTGTAAACAATGTTTTGTATATTTTTCAATTATTTATGAATTTC